TAAACCACACCCATCTAATGCGGCGTGACTTGAGGCTTCCGATGCCCTGTTTGCCGTGGCCATATCCTGCTAGTTCCCAACATCTTTCGGGAGGCTCTGAGTCCCCCATTGTTGGCGAAGGTGAAAAATTCGCATAAGGACGAGCTTGTCATGGCTGGGTCTGTCCTTTCCTGTCCTGTCCCGTCTTGAACAGAAGATATAAGCGTGCGCTGGCCAGGACAGGGCGGGTTTTGTGTTATCTGTTTTCTGTTTTTTATTCAGGCCGTCTTGTCTGGTGTTCTCCGCTTTCTGTCCTCTGTACTCAATCCTGGGATCTTTACCCCCCGCCCAAGTCCTCTGTCGCCTGTCCTGCCCTGCCATCTGTCGTGCACTACCATTGGTTCTCCTGTTTTATTTGTACCACCCTGTCCCGTTGCTTCCGGTATCTAGCTTTGGCGCCAGGAGAGCGTCGTTGCTATATCTCTGACGTCAGAGCGTACCTCACCGTGGCTTTGGCGCCAGGAGAGCGTCGTTGCTATATCTCTGACGTCAGAGCGTACCTCACGGTGGCTTTAACCTACAATCGATTTTTCAGCGCTGTTGCTAGCATGATGAGTGAAAGGAGCGTTTCACTAAGTTTTGCTTGATGTCAAGAAAGGTTTCCAAAAAAGTCGCATGGGCTGAAACGCACACTGGGAAAAAGTGCATTCATACCAAATGGTTCGTTCGAAAGTTATCTTCGAAATACGGAGCCCCTAACCTTCCAGTGACAAGAGTCCGTTGTGTCTATGATCCCTGAGGATCTAATAGTCTAATAAAGAATTCAAACGGTGGTTATCCCAGACAACTTAACCCAGGCACTGATGCGACATGTGTCACATGCTTGACAATGTTACAGGCTCCTCCTTTTATGGGTTCCGTCGTGGTCGGCTATGTCGTCGTGCCTACAGATCCGGCGCGGTTTCGCAAGTAACAGCACCATGTCAACAGTCCGACACAATTTCACCGTCTTCGACGCATCATCGTCACCTTCGTGGTATCACCGTTAAGAACTGCGTAAATTCTTCCAAATCACTACTCGACAAATCTTGTAATTCATATTGCCTGTAAATTCCAAAGTCTGGTTCGGGCAGCTCACATACGTAGTGGGACGAGATATAGCAGTAGCCGCCCCTTTCAGAAAACTACCTGGCCTTAAAGTGAGACACTCTGCTTGGTAACCAGCGTTGATGGTCTGCAGCCAGATCATTGTGACGGCACTGGCTCCGTTGCTGTGCATCAAAATCGTCGCAGAGCATCAGCTGTGCTATGGACCGCCCATTTGTTTCAGGTGCGATGCTGGGAGGTTTGGCATAGTATAGCGATCTCCTCCGCCAGGTCAAGTTTTTTGGCAGGGTTCCTGTTCAGAGAAATGTGGTGGACTGTGCACAGTCAGCTCAGAAATGCAGTCCGTGTGTGGTCGTTTAAGTGTACATTATTGTCGGCGCGGGCTATGTGACATTACATGTGAGACATTGAATTACTAATAAATGCCGTGGCGCATGGTGCTTTGTGCTTTGATGTACATCTACGTTATGTCTGAAAAGATAGCATCGAAGCCTACACCATGGAAACAGATGTCGAGTTTTGGGGAAATTTTAGAGAGCACAACGAAGTTTGGGGCTGGTGGAGCTATAAAGAAAAAAGAATGTTTTGAAGAAAAGTCGAGAAGAAAAAGAGAAGCATTGGAGAGTAACATGGCTGAGAGGAGAGTCTTGGTAAGTTCAAAAGGAAGGGCACAGCACAAAAAGGCTCCTGATGGAAGCCCTTAAAAGTTTACCGGACTTTACCTAATTTTCTTCACCTTATAATCCAGTTGTCAGCGTCCGCGCTTTTAGAGAACGTCAATGGGTTTTAAAACTTAAAGAGACCTTCGGATATGCGGGGCGGGGGAGGATGTGGGTAGTACTTTAGGATGCTAGATATACTGGTGCATAGCACACTACTACGCTAGTAGGTAGCAGCACGCCAGGGGGGGGGGGGGCAATACTTTTCCCAGTTAGTGGCTAAAAAAACCTTTCCATCTCAGCCCAAGGTATTCACCAGTTGCCATCTCGCGACATGGAGAATGGGCCCCTTGGTCCGTTCAGAGGAGCTTAGGGAATATATAGTAAATCGGTCTCCCTCTCCGACGCAGGCTGTCTTCTGACCGGAGCAGCTGCGGCTGGATCGACGCAGTGGCCGCACTGACGCCAAAAGATCACTGACGGGCAACAAGGGTCCAATACCTTTACAGGGGACCCAGCTCCACTTAACGAGCAACGGATGAAGAGGGGTGGAGGGATCCCGTTTGTTGCTGAGGCCTCCTGTGATAGTCAAAGCCTTTCTACTGTCTCAATGACCCGTGTGCCCCTCTACTGCTATCAATGTTCTGTCATTCTCAGAGGGTCCGAACCAACGGAGAAGGCCTGTGGTGGGCCGTGATGGGTACCGAATGAGCCTCTGGCTGACTCGAACAGTACATAATTTTCAATTATGCATACACATTTATCAGAGAACATCTTGACCGACAAGGGAACCCCGACCAATGCGACTTGCGAGGTCTGCGGAGCGTCATTCTCGGGCCCAGACATTGTTCATGCTTGGAAAATGGGCCTCGGTACGACAAAGGGCCGATTGTTGGTGATTTCGACCGAAGTGAGGGTTTTTCTCGAGGGCCCATTTCATCGCCAGAAGGTCTCTGATTGAGGTCAGAGGGCCCCGGTCCTTCGGACTGGAGACCCCCGACCAGCCCTTCCGTCCCTCGATCCCCGTAATCGGGCCGTTGATTGCCGATCCCGAGGGACCCTCTGGATCCAGAGTTACCGAAGGGCCCACGTGTCCCTTGTGCCTGCTCCCCCTTCCTCCTCCCTTGCCTGCGCCCGTACGTGAGATGGCATCGCATCAACAAT